CTTCGCATTTTTTACTGAAATTTTGTTGAGTGAACTATAAACAAAAAATCGCACGATCTCGAGTACAATTTGAAATTAATAGACACGAGTAATGTTTTGAAAGTTCTTGTAATTGCACGAGCCTTTAGGCGAGTACAATTAAAGAACTTTCAAAACATTACGAGTGTCTATTAATTCCAAATTGTACTCGAGATCATGCGATTTCCTATACTAATAGTTGCTAGCACTCAACCAGAACATTCATCATACAAAGACAAATACACAAGAGACCATTTGTGTCTTTTGTTTAATAAATGCTCTGGTTGAGTAATAGCAACTATTAGTCACTAAATAGATACTATTAGTTAGTATTTAGTTTGATTTTATTTCACGATTTAATTGCATCCGCTCTAATTTTCCCCACTAATAGGCCCTTGCATGTGATGTCAATGCAGCTCAATTTGAAGGATAAGACAAAAGAATTTCAATCTCCTGAGAATCAGAAACCTATTTGGATGTCCTCTAAATTGAGCTGCCTTCCGACGTGCTGCAAGGGGTACATACAACGTTTTATGATAGCGTACTCCCACTAACAAAATGCTTTGCAAATTTTCTTTCTTATTCAAATTTGTATTTCCTCATGATAATAATGAGACATGCAATTGGTATTGAACTAAATGAAAGAAAGTCTGGTAGTGGTATGGTAGCAACTGACAATATAATGCAAGTGAACTATTGACATTATCATTGACCTCAGTGTCCTCCTTGGGGTCAGTTATTTTAAGAAAAGAAAAATTAAAGAAATTTTATTTATGTAATTTCATTATTTTTTCCTTGTTGTAGCTTTAGGGAAACCATTGCAGCATTTCTTACACATTATTGCAAGCCTGCAAAACCAATTGATCCAGAGAATGTAAGTAATTTGTTACAGTTTACAGTAACAAACAGTATGTGTGTGTGTGTGTGTGTAAGGGGAGGGGGGGGGGGTTGCTGGCAAAAGTGAAAGGAAAGCATTGTATCAGACATACAAACTTGAGGCATACCCGAGGTTAGTTCCTTTGTGTTTCACTAAAATTTTCAAAATTAAAGTGAATCAGGCAAAGAAAATCCAACTTAAAGTTTATGCAAATGGACACAGTTTTGTATCAGATTTACAACACTCTTGTGGTCGTGATTTCTGTTGTGTTTTCCTCATGAATTCATTTGTTGACTGTTTGACCAACTGAGTGACTGACTGCCTGACCAAAGAACTGACCGCCTGACCAAAGGACTGACCGACTGAACAACTGGCCGACTGGCCAACTGGCCATCTGACTGACTGACCGACTGACCGACTGACAGACTGACAGACTGACAGACTGACCGACTGACTGATTGACCGATTGACCAACCAACCTTTAGGAATGAAGTTATATAATTCAATTTGATTTTATGAATTGTCGATTTCTTTAATTTGTAGCTATTGGCATTCAATGGGAGTGGGTCAGCTGTCGAAGCATTAGGGGAAATGCTGGCTGAACCTGGAGGTAACAATCACTACAATACAAGTGATAATGATGATA